GGACCGGCCTCCCCTCCATCCCCGAGGACCGGCCTCCCCTCCATCCCCGAGGACCGGCCTCCCCTCCATCCCCGAGGACCGGCCTCCCCTCCATCCCCGAGGACCGGCCTCCCCTCCATCCCCGAGGACCGGCCTCCCCTCCATCCCCGAGGACCGGCCTCCCCTCCATCCCCGACGACCGGCCTCCCCTCCATCCCCGAGGACCGGCCTCCCCTCCATCCCCGACGACCGGCCTCCCTCCATCCCCGAGGACCGGCCTCCCCTCCATCCCCGAGGACCGGCCTCCCCTCCATCCCCGAGGACCGGCCTCCCCACAGCCCCGAGGACCGGCCTCCCCCCAGCCCTGCTCCCATTGCCCACACGCCCTGACTGAGTTTCTCCCTCTGTTTCTGCCTTTTCTCTCAGTTCCTCCCTGGGTCTCTCTTGTTCACTCTTCCATCGTGGGATTGGGCGTTTGATATTTCCTTTGGTGTTTTCTCTGCTGGTCCTTGATAGTTTCATCTCCTCCCCCGCCCCCTTGCTGTCTGTGGAGAGGATTAGTCAGGCCACTTCACATTTTTTTAACTAAATACTGTAGTTTAACCACTGCTAGCTAAATATACTTTGACCTCAGTAGCGGCCTGGGAGGCTGGACCCAGCCAGTGAGACCCAGGAAGGCTGGCGCCAAAACCGTCTTTCTCTTTCACTTTGGATAGAGACGAACCTCTGTAGACTGGAGCCCTTGCACTCCGAGGGTGGCTTTGCAATGCAATTTGGATTCTGGGTTTGGTCGCGGGGGTAAGATGTGGAGGTGTGCAGATGCCCCCTCCATGAAGGCACCCTGGACTCCCAGAGTTGGCCTGTGGCGTGTTACCTTTCTTTATGAACCCTAGAAAGTGGTTCGCATAGTTCTTCTGTCCCCTGGGGAGACTTGGATGAACTTTGGATAACCACAGCCGGGGGCAGCTTATTAATGATTACACGGAGAGGGGAAGCAAGTCATGTCCCCTACAGGATATTACACACAGCATGACTTTCCCATTCCAGAAAACAGACGTCTCTAAACGCATTTCAGTCTCTAGGCTCCTGGCCATGCCATGCCATATCCACACGGACCTACCAAATCCTGCTCAGGGTGAGACGGGGCCAGAGGCAAGGGCGGAAAGATGCGTAGCTGAGGAGCCTGGCCTTTATCCAGCACCTATGGACTTCCCTCTGAGAGAGAGAGAGACACACACAGAGAGACACACAGAGAGACGCAGAGACAGAGAGAGATCTCAGAGACGTTGTGGGTCTAGCATCTTTCTTCATTTACCAAGATTTTAGTTTATTTATTTATGTTTATGATGGCCACCGAGAGCCCTGGGAAGGCAGAAGACAGCGGGACAGGCATGGGGGGGGGAGGTTCATCAATTCAGTACACATAAGATGAGGGTCTTTATTAGTTACTTCTCTCTCTCTCTCTCTCTCTCTCTCTCTCTCTCTCTCTGTCTCTCTCTCTCTCTCTCTCTCTGAGACGGGGTTTCTCTGTGTAACAGCCCTGGCTGTTCTGGAACTAGCTCTGTGTAGGCTAGGCTAGTCTCGGACTCACAGAGATCCTCCTGTCTCTGCCTCCCGAGTGCTGGGATTAAAGGGGTGCGCCACCACCCGGCTCAGTTACTTTTCTGGTTTCAGTGACAATACATCCAGCAAACCGACTTATGGAGGGCTTGTTCTGGCTCACAGTTTGAAGGCGCAACCCATTACGGGGGAAGGGGGGGAGTCATGGTAGCAGGAACATGAGGTACTGGTCACACGATACCTGCAATCCGGAAGCAGGGAGGGGTGGCTGCCGGCACTCGGTTGGCATTCTTCTTTTTAGTCAGTCCAGGACCCCAGCCCGTGGAGCCCTGGGTGTGTCTACATTAGGATGAATCTTCCCATTCCAATGAATCTAATCTAGAAACTCCCTCACATACACACCCGGGGGTTTGTCTACCAGATGACTCTAGATCGCGTCAAGTTGATGGCATTAAGTACCATGGGGTCTCAAGGGGAAGTGAAAGAGACAACAGAGGCATTTAGAGGGTTGATCCAAGCCCCGGAGGGGGAGGGGAACAATGTGCAGAGAGTTGCCTTGATGCAGTACCTTTTAGTCTGCTGTGTAAAGAGTTGAAATCACAACAGGTGACGTTAGGAGACCTCTATCAGTTGACGCAATTGCACATGCGAAGACTTAGGGGAGGGGCAGGAAGGAAGGGAAGGAAAGCAGCGAGGTGGGGAAACTGAGGCAATTGCAGTGATGGGCATGGCAAGGGTTGAGGCAGGTGCTGTAGGATTCTGGGCTGCAGAGGATAGATAAAAGATTGGGAAATTCTGAAGCGCTTTAAGCTGGACAGTAACATGACCAGGGAAACAGAGCTGTGTATGTTGTTCAAAGAAGGCTATAGAGAGGAATGGGATGGTCCTGTCCCTTAGGAGGCTGGCCAGGAGGTGAGGATGGATGGATTGCCCCAGACAAATCACAAGGAAGGCACATGAGGTATTTTAATCTGTTTTAGGATGTCACCAGGAGGATGAATTGGTAGATGGATGGGGGTGATCAGGAAATGAAGGCATTCCCAGCAGTCATCTCTAGATGGAGGTTTCTGTCCCATCTGGTCCTGCAGTTGTTTAGTCCCAAATAAACACACAGAGACTTGTACTAATTACAAACTGTTTGGCCAATGGCTCAGGCTTTTTATTGGCTAGCTCTGTCTGAATTATTAACTCATTTCTATTAATCTATGTATCATCACATGGTCTTAGCTTACCAGAGAATGCCTGGGCATCCTATCTTCCCTGAAGCTACACGGTGTCTGGCCAGCGACTCACTCTCCGAATTTCTCTTCCCAGAATTCTCCTAGTCTGGTAGCCCTGCCTATACTTCCTACCTGGCTACATCCTTCCTGTTCATTGGCCAAAACAGCTTTACTCATCAACCAATAAGAGAAACATGCTCACAGCATACAGAGGACGTGCCCCATCAGAGATGTGGGGACGTGGAAGTGAACCTTGTAGGCTGAAGTCTGGGAAAAGGAAGAAGGGACAGCGAGTGTGAACATGGGAAGGGGCTGCCTGGGCTGTACAAGCCTGAGGAGCAGTATGGCTGCCTGAGTACAGGCCTGAGGAGCAGTATGGCTGCCTGAGTACAAGCCTGAGGGGCAGTATGGCTGCCTGAGTACAGGCCTGAGGAGCAGTATGGCTGCTGCTTACTGAAAGATGAGACGTGACGGCAGATGACGTCTAAAACAAGAGTGGGAGCCTGCAGCGAGGTTCCCTGGGTGAACTGGGAGGGATCGGGAAAATCCTAAACAGGAGACAGACCTGTTTATAGCCAAACACACACACACACACCAGACACACAATACCACACACCACACACACTACACACATACTCATACACACATACAGACATATACTCACACACACAAATCACACACACCACACATACACACACATACACACATACCCACACACTACACACATACCATACACAAACATACTACACACACACCACATACACATCAAACACACATATCAAACATACCACTCAACCAGACATACATTATCACACATACCACACACACTCATACACACACATACTCATACACACCACACTCACACCATACATACAAATCACATGCACACATACACACACACCACACATACATACCACACACACATCACATATACACACATACACCACACACAAACATACCACACACACCACACATACATACCACACACACACAAATCACATATACCACACACACACAGTACACACACAAACACACTACACACACACCACATACACACCACACACACCAGACATACAATATCACACATACACACACCACACATACATACCACGCACACACACACATCACATATACACACACACCACACACAAACATACCACACACCACACATACATACCACACACACATCACACACACCACACACAAACCACACACAAACATACCACACACATACCACATGCACACCACACACACACCCCACACACCACATACACACACCATACTACACACATATACACACATACACATACACATTCACCCACACACACACTTTTTTTTTTTTGGTTTTTCAAGACAGGGTTTCTCTGTATTGTTTTAGAGGCTGGCCTGGAACTCACAGAGATCCGCCTGCCTCTGCCTCCCGAGTGCTGGGATTAAAGGCATGCGCCACCACCGCCCGGCTCCCACACACATTTTATGTGTGTGCATATTTTATCTATGTACGAGTGAGCACCACATGCATGTCTGGTGCCTGCAGAGGTCGGAAGAGGATAATATACAGTGACATGTATTTTGTGACTTCAGCCGCCCAAGGAGAGAGGCGATACAAGAAATGGCCCAAGAACAGAGACTTCAGTTCTATCCCCATTTAATAGTAGCCAGGAGACAAAACCGAGTGGTGAGGAGAAGCGAGATCAAGAGGCGCCGAGGAGCCAGGAAGAGGGCAGGCAGGGATGCACCGTGTGGTGAGCCATTGCGGGCAGGAAATGAAACTCAACTGTGTGGCCCGTGCTCGCATCACTGGGTACCACTCCAAGTTTGTGTTCAAGGAGAGGCGGGGCCAAGAGTCTGACAAAAAAGACTTCAGACAGAGTGGATTAGGACCAGGGCTGCTGGTAGAATGATTGTCTAGTACGTACAATGCCCTGGGTTTGATCCCCAGTGAAGCATGAACCAGGAATGCTGGCACGCACCTGTATTCTCAGAGCTCAGGAGGTGGAGGCAGGAGGGTTAGACATTCGAGGCTACATAGGGTGTTTGAGGTCAGCCTGGGCTACACGAAACCCTGTCTCAAAAGGGGGGGGGGTTGGAGGAAAGGGCAGCATGTAGGCTGAGGGCCAGGGCCAATGGTGCAGACAGGGACTCTGAACCGCAGTATTGCCTCATGAGGAGAGCCCGAGGTAAAAGCATGAAGAAAGGAGAAAGCCTTTGTAGCGCTGGGAAGGGAGGGAGACTCCAGCATGCAACACGGAATAGTGAAATTTATTCCAGATGCTTTCGTGGGTGGGAAGCAGCTTTGCTCACAGACGGAGATCGCCTGGCATTGGCCAGGACAGGGAAAGGGGAGGAGTCATGGTGGTCTTCAGCTCACACAGCAGAGGAGGGCTCTAGCTCTCCACCAGGGCTGAGGGGTAGGGTCACCTTAGGGAGCCATTCAGAAATGCAGAACTCTGGACCTCACCTCAGCGAACCCCTGTGCGTCCGTCTCCAATGGGACTCAGTGATGTTTCTAGAAGTCTTCCCTGTGGTCGTCTCGTCCGGGCCTCACTGAGAGCCTCTGATGAGCACACCAGTGGGCTTGACACTGAATGAGTATGGGGGGCACTTGGAAGTGAAGGGACCACGGGGAGGGTCAGCCCTGATACCCCGAGGGTAATGATTGCGGTTGTAGCTGAGGAATCTATCGGCTTTCCCCAGAAAAGCGGTTCTCATAACACTTAGTGAAATGAAACCCCAAGTTAATTCCACAGCTTTAAGAGATCATCAGGCGCCAGCAGCAGCATTTTCCTGTTCTTAGGTTTTTCATTGCAGGAAAATTTTTGCAGACCCTGGTGGCTACTGAACGGAGCCTGCTTTGGATGTGTTTTACCCATAGAATTTGTGGACACAGACACAGACACAACAGTTCTGCATGCTTCTACCTGGCCTGAGTGATCCCAAGGGTCGTCTTGGGTCCCTTAGACCTCTCATTCTGGATGTTAAGGGTGACATGGGCAGGTGTGTGTGTGTGTGTGTGTGTGTGTGTGTGTGTGTGTCTGACCATCTGTCCATAATTCTTTCTTCTGCTGGGAAACATCTGTCTTAGTCCATGCAGTGTGGGCTGCCAATCACGTAGCTACCTCCGTTTCCATCTGGAGTTATGTGATTCAGACCTTCCCAGTTACAGTAGTGCAGTTTCAGGCATTCAAGAGGCAAGGGCGGCATTAAAAGGCATCCATTGGCATATTTTCTCTCAAATACTACCCTGCGGAGAGTGGTAGCTTTCACTCCCCTCAGCGCTAGGCCTCTGGATCTGCGCCGCAATGTCTTGCATCACACAGCATTCTGACCCAGGATAGGTTCTTGCCGCCTTCATGTGAGGCCGGCCGCGTGGGGTATGCACTGGAGAGTCAGGCAGGCATGGTCAAAGAGTGTGTGCGGCAGCTGCCCCTGGGACGTCCAGGTGTCCGTCTCCGGGTCATAGCAGTCAAAGGACGCGGAGTCCTCGATGCTGCAGTCCGTGGTCAGCCTCCGCCCACCCGTCACATACAGCTTGTCCCCCATGACTGCGGCCCCGTGGTGCATACGCCGGTCTTTCATGTCCGCACACTTGACAAATTTGTTGGCCTGGGGGTCATAAGCAAGGATCCTCCTTGTGTAACCTGAAGATTGAACAATGCGTGAACAGCTGTGGGTGGCCCGCCTGGGGCTGTGGCTCAGTGGCTGGAGAGTGCGCTCCCTGCCCCCTCAACCCCCAGACACACGCCAGGCTGGGACTCTGGCCAATGCATGGATGTCCAGGTACCCTGCTGCAGCCTGGCAGGGCTGGGGTCTGCATCTCTCTGGCTCTGGCCCAGATTATGGCAGCCATGTAAGTCATTTGTAGAGCAGCTTCTGCAACCCCGCTGGTATTTTCATCTCTTTCACGTGACCCCAGAGCCACAGCCATTCGGGGAAGGGGGCCTTCCCTGGCTACGCAGAAATGGCAGACTACTGGGCAGTTATTTTGAGGGCTCCCATTTTACTGACAGGCAAACCAAGACATAGAAAGATGAATAACTTGCAAAAAGTATATACTCACTTAATGGTAGAGTTGGGATTTGAACCCAGGTCGCTTTGACCCCTATACTGGCCCTCTTAACCATAGTATAGTATGTGTTTACAGAGAATTGATGCCTTGGGAGCCGTTGTTGTTAGTATCATCAGCATCATCATGACTATTATTATTGTTGTTTTGAGACAGGGTCTCACACTAGTCTGGTCTGGAACTCACTATGTGGTCCAGACTGGCTTCACACTAGGGACAATGCTCCTGTCCCAGCCTCCCAAGTGCTCAAATTACAGGTGTGAGCCACCACACCTGGCTAGTGTTGACATCTCTTCTTCATGGGTCTGGGACAGTCCTGCCGGCTTCAGCCACATAATACATTTTATCAGGGTGACGTTCTGTAGGACGGGTGCAGAACCACCCCTTGTTTATAGAGAGAGACAGGAAGAAGCTTCCAGGCAAACGGCTCTCCGGCTTTCAGCACTTTCCTCGGGATGGATGTGACTTCGGAAGCCCTGCCTGGAGGATAACACTCGTCTCTCAGCAGTCATTTCCCCGGAAGCTGCCAAGTGTCTTCCCACCAGTCACTCTCTGTTCACTCACCTCCTACAATGACAATCCTCTCCCCCAGGACCACTGCGGGCGCACACACGTTCTTGATCATCCTCGTCTCCATTTTGAACCACGTGTTTCTGGAAATGTGGTAAACCTGAGGGGAAACAGAATCGTGGTACCAACTTTTAAAGTTAACGTCTCTAAAAGAGAAAAAGGCTGCTTGTTTATTATGTTTTTACTTGAGGGAGAGAGAGAGAGAGAGAGAGAGAGAGAGAGAGAGAGAGAGAGAGAGAGAGAGAGAGAGAGAGAGAGAGAGAGAGAGAGAGAGAGAAAGAGGACTATGTATGTGTGTGGTATGGTGTGGTGTGTGTGTATGTGTGATATGTGTGGTATGTATGATGTATATGTGTTAGTGTGAGTATATGGTGTGTGTGGTATATGTGTAGTGTGTGTGGTGTGTCTGTAATGTGTGTAATGTGTGTTAGTGTGTGTGTATATGTTTGTAAGTGTGTGTATGTGTGTGTGCGCGTAGGTCAAAGGACAACTTTTGGGTTTCTGTTCTCCTTTTCCACCATGTGAGTTCCAGGGCTTGCACTTAGGTCACCAGTCTTGGTGAGAAATGCCTTTACCTAATGAGCTACCTCATTGGCCCAAGTAGTCAACCTCAGGGTGAATCAGAAATAAATTTTTCTTTCTGTTTATTTTCAGGTTTTAAGTGTAGGCATTACTATCAATAAATGAACTCTTGCTGGCAGAAAGACAAATGTATCAGAAGTTAGTCTTGGGATCCCATGAAACTAGTGGCTTCCATTAACTGGGTCAAGGGTTCCACACTGGGGTAGGCATCTCACTTACCTTCTTGGGATATTTTATTATCTTAATGAGAAATGGAGCAACTTGAATATTTAGGAAACTGATTATTTTCCATTTCTAGGTCATGTTTATATTTCTGTGTATATTCCGGTGTAGCTAAGAGGGTCAGAGAACCACGAATACATCTGAGGCTGTGTAAGGAAGGCTTAGGAACAGTTAGTTTATGCCTGAGAAGAACTTGAGTTTTTGTAAAAGAAGAGAAAGAAGAAAAGAGACAAATCAAAGAGGAGAAGGCAGGCTCTTCAGCCAACCTGAAATGTGGATCAATCATGGTTCCCTCTTCTGCTGATTTCCTCAGTTTCAAACTCAAATATCAAACGAAAGTAATAGGCACAATTTAGCACAAGAGATAAAGAAGAGACTCCCCATAAAGAAAAGAAGGAACAAGCCAGGCGGTGGTGGCTCACGCCTTTAATTCCAGCACCTGGGAGGCAGAGGCAGGTGGATCTCTGTGGGTTCGAGGCCAGCCTGGTCTACAGAGCTACACAGAAAAACCCTATCTCGATAAACCAAAAAAGGAAAGCAAAGAATAAACAAAACATCTGTTTACAGAGGAAAATGACATAGTAGCTGTCACAAACACTTTTTCTATATTAAATATAATGTCTAGCTTCATCAATGACCTTGTCCTTACCATTTGGTAGCAGTTTGGGGCTGAAGATGTAGGGCAGGCGGTGGAGTGCTCACCCACCATGTATGAAGCCTGTACTTGACCCCCAGAACCACTTGAATGTATGAAGGCCTGCACTGACTCTAAGATCATTGGCATGTATGAAGGCCTGCATTGACCCTAGGACCATTGGCATGTATGAAGGCCTGCATTGACTCTAGGACCATTGGCATATATGAAGGCCTGCATTGACCCTAGGACCATTGGCATGTTTGAAGACCTGTGTTGACTCTAGGATCATTGGCATGTTTGAAGACTGGGTGTGGTTGGTGCCACCTGCGATCCTAGCAATCAAGAGGCGGAAGCAGGGGATCAGAAGGTCAAGGTCATCCTGGGATACATGAGACTTTGTTTCTAAAATAATGAACAGGGACTGGAGAGATGGCTCAGTGGTTAACAGAACTGGCTACACTTCGCAAGGTTCTGGGTTCAATTCCCAGCAACTCACATGGTGGCTCACAAATGTCCTTAACTCTAGTTCCAGAGAATCGGATGCTCTCTTCTCACCTCTAGGGCCACAGATTGCATGTGACACATTTGTGTGTGTGTGGGGGGGTGCGCACGCGGGAGTGCACATGTAGGCAGAATACTCATAGGCATAAAAAATAACTGCATCTTTAAAATAAATAAACAGGTAGCATGAAGAAGTTGACACTCACAATGTATCAGGTAGCCACTGTTCCTTCTTGGTTTTTCAGATTAGACTCTTGAGGCTTACAGACACTTGACTTGCACAGACAGAGTGAATGGACATGGTGGTTTCTGGTTCAACCCAGAGGCCATGCTCTTGGTCACCAGTGTCATGGATCTGCTCTTGGTCACCAGTGTCACGGGTCTGTTGAGGGCGTGTGGCATTACCTGATAGTTAACAAATTATTGCTATGATTGTTGTTGTTATGTGTATGCTTGTGGCATGTGTGTGTACACTCATGCCATGGCGTGTGTGGAGGTCAGAGATCAACTTTGGGAAGTTTGCTCTCTCCTTCCACTTTTCCTGGGTTCTGGGAATCAAACTCAGCTCAGACTTTCATTGCAAGTCCCTTTACCTGCTGAGCTGTCTTGCAGTGCTCTGATGGATGAGACCAAGACCCTTCCTGGGATCCACATCATCCCTCCTTCCTGTTGCAGCCTGGAGGAGGCTGAGTATAGTCACAATGACTGGGAAGCCCCGTTGCTCCATCTGATAATACAGGGGCGACACACTCCTTGAGAAGTCGGATCCTCTGGAGGGACATGACTGCTGGCTGCATTTTCCTCGGGCGAGGGATTGCCTCCTGGCCTTCTGCTCTCTCAGCTTGGCATTTGGCTTCAAAGACAGGTTTGTCATTTCCTCTCGATCCTCACGGGACCTCAGAGAGACCACAGCAAGGTAGCAAAGGATGTGTTTGACCTGCGTAGAAAGTGACGCTCCCTCGTGGTATGGGATTTGTTTTCTGTCCTCCAGAAGCAGAGGGAGAAAGGGACCACACACATCCACCTTGCCCAGTGACACCATTGAAAGACGGCCTTGGAAGAACAACGGCTCCTCTGACTCGGCCTGAAAACCCAGCCTACTCCATCAAGTGACTCTTAGCACTCATTTTAAACCGTGTTTAAGCGAGTAGAATGCCCACTTCAAAGCTAATGCTAGACCAGTAAGGAAAACACACACATGAAGGTTTCTGCCCACTCCTGGCTTCCCTTGGCTGGGCCACAGAAGGGCCTCTCCCAAGTCCAGGTTAGTTTGACTCTGAGGATCTTGATTTGGTTGCACTATGTGTTTCTTGATCTGTTAGCTGGAAGTTTGTTTGAGCTTTGCATTTTATTCTTAGGAAGTTGGTGACAGTCTTGCGGTGCGAAGTCTCCAGCCTGTCTGTTGATTCTATTTGGACAAGCAGTCAAGAGAGTTGGGAGGGGCTCTGATGGGTCTCTTCTGAAGATCAGAGTGGAGGCTCCCCCAGCTCAAGCCAATGGGTGGGCTGAGGGTGACACTTGTGGAAGGCGTGAGAATCTTCTTGATGGTCACCGGGAGGAAGGACTGCAGAAGGAAGGTGTGGAGGTCTAAGGCATCAGCACCCTCTGTCTGGGCTTCGGGGAGAACCTTCCAGTTCTCTTCCCTGGATCTTCCCCACTCCCTTCTCTAGAAGCTTCTAGATCAGCGGTTCTCAACCTTCCTAACTCTTTGACCCTTTAATGCAGTTCTTCGTGTTGTGGTGACCCCAAACCATAACATTATTCCATTGCTAATACATAACTGTAATTTTGCTACTGGTATGAATCATAATGCAAATATCGGACAGGCAGGACATCTGACATGTGCCTCCTGTGAAAGGGTCGTTCAACCTCCTAAGGGTGTCACGGCCTGCAGGTTGAGAACCACAGATCTACAGGGCGCTAAAAATGTGGCTCTGATTGCTTCCCCACCATGCATACTTTGATGCTCGCTCTGCCCTCCCTCTCAGGTCACCAGCCCAGTTTCCTGACAAGACAGACAAAGTCCAGCTGCAGCAGCTTCATCTCCGCAAGCCGTTCTGGAATGTTCCAGAATTCTGACAGGAGGGCCTTGGAGGCAGTATCTGGGTGGAGGAGGTTGCTGGGGCAGCGGGGGAAGGGGATGATGAAGACTACGGGGGGGGGCTAACACCTGTTCCCTCCCCAGCTACCGTCTGCATGCAGCCTTCCTCCTCCTCACTCTGCCTGGCAACTGCATGCCATGCTCCCGGTTCCTCAGGCAGAGCGCTGTACCTCCTCTTTTCTGCCGAGCCTTTGCGCAAAGGACCCAGGGTGCACCTCTCCCCCTGCAGATAGTTCTGACGTCCTGAGCTGACTGCTCCTCGCTCCCAGTCGGGCCCTCTGATACTCTCTCGCCTCAGCATCTTAGTTAGCCTCCCTCCTCTTTCACCCTCTCACGGAGTTTTCTTCAGATCCCTCTGGACCCTCATGTTCTTTGCGATTCCCTCTGGTCCCATTTAGGACACCTCTTAAGCTCTCAGCACTTGTATCTTCAGATTCCGAATTGCAGCTGTCTTGTAAACTCCCGGGGGGTTAAATGTAATTTCCGTTTCCTCCCAGGTCCCCAGAGCGTTGACAGCGGCCAGTGCTCAGTACAAGGCACAGGGAAGAACAGAGCCCACCCTGGTGTCTCCTGAATAGTAAGGGAAGCTTACCGCGTGGGGCACAGTTGTGAAAGCTTGCATGAAGCGGGAACACTTGATGCTCCGAAGCTGGCCTTTATCGAACACACATCTCAGGGACCGTGCGAGTGAAATGAATTTCTCCTGTCATCTAAGGCACATGGTCCCAGTCCCAGCCCCAATCCCAGTCATGCTTTAGAACCTCCTAGAGACTTCCGTAAAGCGCAGATGTCATGATTCCATGCAAGGAGACTTTGATTCGGTGGATCTGAGGTGAGGTTGCAGGGGATTTGTTGGCAGAGGTGTGGAGTAGCCTTGCAGAGGGAGTTAATGGCACCATGAACGTCCTAAAGGACTTTGTTGTCTGGTTTTTAATATGCTTCAGTCTGGACTTCTAGGTTATTTTCCCTTCAAGTGAAGACAAGATCTTTGTGGATGGGGATGTACCTGACATAATTGTGCATTAGTCTCCCAATAAAAGTTCATTAAGTCAAAAAACACTGAAAATTTTCTTCTTCTCTTCATTCCCTGAAAAAGGCAAATGTGTGCATGTGTGTGTGCATGCTATGTGTGTGCCTATGTGTATGTGTGTATGCCTGTGTGGGCATGTGTACACACACACACAGGCATGCGTATGTGTATTTGTTCTCATATGCATACACTACTATATATGGCATATATACATACACATGAATGCATGCATGCCTATGTGCACATGTGTGTATTCCATTATATGTCTGCATGCATACATATGCACATAGGTGTATATATGCACATGTGTGCATTGATATGTGTATGCCCTGATAAATAACAGTGTATGTGTGGATACACACACAAATGCATATATGTATGTATATGGGTACACAAGAATGCATATATGCGCATATATATTTATGACATCTGTGCATATGTACGTGCTGTTATATATGTTCACACAATTGCATGTACACACAAGTGCACATACACATGCAAGTGTGCAGACATAACGTGTAACATGCATGTGCCTATGGATGTATACTTGCACATGTATGTGTGCACATGTTTGTCACCATATGTTCATGTCCGCATATGTGTATGACATTATATAAATGCACATGCATATATGAATGTCATATAATTACATGTGTGCATATATATGTATGTATACATGTTCATGTAACGAATGTACACACAACTGAATACATGCACATGTATGTGTGCATATATGTATGCTCAATTATACATGTGCTTATATGAGTGCATCTGCATATGATTATGTGTATGCTATATGTATATGTGTGCATGTTTATGCTGTCATAGATGTGCTTGTGAATGTTTGTTCATGTGGCTGCAGACATGCATATGTATATGTGTATATGCATATGCCATTGTATTAGGTGTGCATATGTATGTGTGTGTGTGTGAGTGCACAAGCACACTTGGTGCTAGCATGGAGAGAAGGACCCCCTGATTACCTGGACAAGACGCACAGGGTTCTGCATGATGTCCTCACCCCCAAAAAGATAGAGCCTTTGGTCCTTCACGGCAACCGCAGGCTGAAGCACGGCCACTGGCATGCCAGCCATGCTCTCCCAGGCATCACAGACGCTGTCATACCTCTCCATGGAACCCAGGAGCTCCTGCCCTTCTCCAGTGCCCCCAATGGAAAAGATGAAGTTCCTGTGGGCGGCGCTTCTGTGGGAGTAGCGGGCTGCCAGCATTGGCTCCCCCTGCCTCCACCGGTTGAGTTTCAGGGAGAAGATATACACACTGCCACAGATGACGCTCTTCCCCTCGCCGACAGCCACGCCCCCGAGCACGTAGACACTGCGGTGCAAGGTGACAGCAGAGGCCTTGTACAACCGCGTGGGGAGTTTGGCCAGGCTCTGCCACTGGCCGGTCTGTACACTGTAGAGCAAGACATCCCTGGTGGTCTGCTGGCTGTCCTTCTGCCCCCCAAGGAGGAGGAGGCAGTCTTGGTAGCAGCTCCTTGGGGGGATGTGCCCCGGGGGTTGGCAGTCCCGGGAGCTGGGGCTGTACAAAGAGAACATCTGCTTCCTGGCGGTCTCCAGGACGGCCTGGCACGCGGGTGAGGCCTGGAGCAGAGCCTCGTTGGCAATGAAGTGGTGGAAGTAAGCGGGGTGGATGTACGGCAGGCGGACCTGCCGCAGCAGCTCCTGCATGTGCGGCCATCGGGCCTCGAGGTCGTGCCTGACCCAAGCCATGAGGGCCTCGAACACCTTTTCCTCCTCGCCGCAGAGTCTGTCATCTCCTAGGTAGTCTCTCAGCTCCGCGGCACAGAGCTCCTTCAGGTCAGCCGACGCCGCCACCTCTGGGAATCGACTCAGGGCCACCTCCCTGGCTTTCTCCTTAAGGCTTTCACAGTTTAAGATCTCCGCGAGTCTGGCCAGGCCCAGGCAGTTGCTGGGGGCCAGCTGGCTCTGCAGGTATGATGAGCAGGCCTCGAACACCCTGGGGTACTGCAGCATGGCGGCCGCCTCCATCAGGGGGAGGACGTTGGCAGCTGTGATGTGCACCTCTCCCGTGTACACGTAGGTGACGACCTGCTCTAGAGTGGTGGCGCTGATGCCCCTCAGCCACACTTTGGCCTCCGTGCTCTCCCGGAAGTGGCTGCAGAACATGGCCTTGAAGTAGGGGCTGCTGGAGGCCAGCACGTTGCGGTGGCAAGGGACCTCCCAGGCTCCGGAGCAGATGTTCACGTCGGTCAGGGTCTTGCTTTGCCTTAAGTCATTGAGCTGTCTCAACAAGTCAGAGGAGAAGCTATCATCTTTGAAGACAACACCATCTGGCGACTCCTCATCCATCCTACAAAGGAGGAAAGCCCCAAAGGGAAGCAAGGTCAAGGCTTCCTGGCAGTGGCTGTGGGGTCCCCAAGCCTCATTCACCGTATCTATTTTCACCATATCTATTTACCAAGTCAATGGGTTCACACTAAAAATGGAAGAGGAAACCACCCTCACCCCAGGCCACAAAGTGATCTACTTTAGGCTGTGAACAGCCTCA